GTCCAAATGTACGAAACCATTCACCAGGTTTTGAAATTAAACTTTAAAATTCCTTTAAACTATTTGGTCGCTGACGGCTGTATTTTACCAATATGCAGCGCTCGTAAGGTGGATCTCCAAAAGCTGACTGATTCTGGCTTAATGAGTTTAAATTTTGCCTCAATTTGAACATCATGCGAGGTCTACCGGATTGGACTGATAATCTTATAACAAAAACTATCTCGTACGTAATTTCATCCGCCCGTACTAATTACACTATGAAAAAAATCATTTTTATCGTACGGTAAGATATGTAGCCCACGCCGTAAGTTCGTACGTACTGCCCGTCCAAATGCATGCAGGCTTCACAGAGTCCACGGACCGAAACCCTTCGCTTTAATGAGACAAATGGCATTGTTAATAAAGGTCAAAACCTTAAAACTCGGGCTGTATGACAAATGTACCAATGTACCATTGGGAACAGCTAGTCAGCCACTCCAGCCGGCTTTTTCAAAAGGCACTGCACAGGAAACGAATCCCCACCCTACGACACCCCTATTCATTATTATTATTATATTATTGTTATTATTGTTATTACTACTACTACTACTACTACTACTATACTACTACTACATTGGCTCTTGACTGTTCAGGTTTCCCTATTCAAAACTATCAATTAATTATCTTCGCGTAACTCTCCGTTAAACTAAAAGCGTTAAATTGCACGGTGCTTTATTTATAATCAGCAGCAAGTTTTGCAAATATTCCAAAAATTTTACCAAAAGCTATTTCTCGTGTCTTCTTCGCAGCTCCCTTTAAGGTTAATGTCAGCTGTGAGGGTTGCAGTTCGCTTCGTTCGCACTTTGTGGTATCAATAGGCTCATTATAATAACAAATACAGTGCCCCCACCGTCCCATCAAACTCTCCGTCCCAAATCACACCAATAAGATAGGCCACCCGAACGCAGACAGATATTTATACTTACTGGTATCGGAGAAAGTATCCGGTCCAGGTGCACAATAATTAAAATCGAAGCAATGAAATAAAGCCGGGTAATAAATAATGTTTCAAAAATCAATATTAGTGTTGGAGTCATGTGCCGAAACCGTGGCTGTGCGTCACTTAAAAAATACTTCAACTAGGATCGGGATCACTTTGCAGATTCTTCGCACAACGTAACAAGTCCCGACAAACACTAACAGCCATGGAGCCGGACAGCTACGATCGGCGGCCCCAAGAGCCCCGGCCGCAGCTCTCAGGACATTTAACGTGATTGATGGGTCGGGCGGTGAGTCACAGCGCAGGGTCCCGCCCACCACCCGCTAGGCAGCCAATCGGACCGCGAGCCAGCGCTCCCACTTCGACAGCGGCCAGAAAACGCGTGTTCTGTCAAATATAACTTGCTCCCCCCCCCCCCCATTGCCTCACTTAATAGGCTACTGCAATTTCTCATTATTTGGCGCATTTGAAGGGGGCAAACGAGTTGTTTTGCTTTTAGATTTAAATACAGCTGGGTGGTTTGCGTCGTCGTGTATCAGTGGGAGAAAGACGTGACTAAAGATTACATGGCATCATGATGTCCAGTTTAATGTCACGCAAATGTAGGTGGCTGAAAGAGTGATGCAGGTAGGATGACTAAACCGGAACCTTGATATGTAGGCTGTTTAATATGTAGGACTAAGATTTTATGTAATAGATATTCCGAGGAAAATAATTGTAACCCTGTACCAAGCATTACAGTGCTGTTGTTTTTAAAATATAAAACATGAGGGGCGTAATTATAATCAGGCCTATAGCAAATCTGAATGAACTTTACTAACTGTCATATGTGATGTTCCCAGTCTTTCTCTATAAGCCGCTAAGATGTCCGTTTAATGATGCGCTCTCCAAAGTAATTTCGTCAAAATTGAAACTCAATTTGTCACAGTGATTTGTGTAAATAAAATAAATGTAATGTTATGATTTTGCAGGGGCGCAGTAAGTTCTGTGCTCAATAAATATTAGTCCTTGTGTTTGCATGTGTGGCCCGAAGACACGTTTTACCAAGCTGAACATTGTCCCGTGTTGCATGTATAGAGCCAGAACCGTTGCTCTGACGTGCAAATTTTATAATACATCACGCAGCTGGTGGATTTCAGGTAAATGCAGTCGCACATGCATGCATTCGTAAAAGCACTGTAAAATATACTAATCAATTCCAAAAGGACGTAATAAAAACACTGGATGTTGGCATAATGCCGGTGCAGTGCCTGGTCATTTTTTACAAGTTAAATCTGGGCAGCATAACAGGAAGTAGAAGGCTCAAGTTCCACTACTGAAAATATGCATTACTGGAAAACAACAAAACGGAAGACCTGCGCTGAAAGGAGGAAGATGTTAGTCATTACTTATAAAACGTTTGTAATTTAAAGAGTAGCAGTCTAAAAAATAATTCAGGTGAACGTTTGTGCGCGTGTGCGCTCGCGTGTGTGGGTGTGACGCACGTCTGACAGCGGGCACAAATAGGACGAGGGAAATTCACACATTCCGTTGTTGTTCCCTCTCTCTCTCTCTCTCTTTCTCACACACACACACACACACACACACTCACTCACTATGACAGCTGATTTCAGGGAAGCGGCCCATTTACTGTCTTCATGATGTTATATATGTATGTATGTATATATATATATATATATATATATATATATATATATATATATATATATATACCCATCACCCATTACATTCACTAAACGATTCATACTAATGTATTTAATTTGAGAGTTTGGACACTGAAAATCTGTTATCTTAAAATGCATGTGCATACTGTCCATTCAGCTAAGTCTCTCTAGGTATAGCTGGATATCATCACAAGTTATAACCAAATGTATGCATTGTCACATTAATTAACTTAATTAAATGTATAAATATACGGTAATATAAGGGCTCAGTAGGCTAAGCTTCTGTGCCTGTGGTCAGAAGGTCGCCAGTTCAAGCCCAGCTTCAGTTCAACAATCACATGTCTGTGGGCCCCTGAGCGTGACCCTTAACCCCCAGCTCCAGAAGCACTGCACACTGGCTGACCTTGCACTGTGACCCCCACACCTGCGTGTGTCTCTGTGTCATATGGAGAGCAAGATGGGGTAAAAAAATGGAGTTAATACAGTATTCCCATTAAATTCTGTATACAATAAAACACATCATATAGTAGATTCAGTATACTATAAATATACTTCTCAAAATGAGAAATTAAGTGCATTTTTATTATGCATTTTCTAACCAGTGGCCTGAGTCGGGTGATGGGGGGAACCCTGAGCCAATCCCAGGCAGCGCAGGCAATAGGTGGGAGTGTCCCTGAATGTAAGGGATTCAGAGGAACCATTTCACTGAACTGCAGGTCTTTGGATGGTACGAGGAAACCAGAGTACCTGAAGGAAAGCCACACAGCTCAGGCGGAGCATGCAAGCTCCATGCTCACACGGGGTGGTGGGGGGAGGGGGGGCGGGTGAGAAAACCCCAACTCTGGAGGTGTGAGGTCACCCACAGCGCCGCTCTGCAGCCCCAGTGTGTCATAATGCAGGACTTTTCCTTTCTCTCTGTAGCTCCTTGGCTCTTCTCCAAACAGACTTTTATCACTTTTTAAAGGGCACTATATAAATATATATATATATGTCATATTACATCAACATATCACCATTTAAATGCTGTTACTCTGACTAGGATGAACCATTGGTAGGTGGATGGATGGACAGATGGTTTTTGTATTGATTTTAAAGCTGCATATTTAGTGTGTATTACGCCGAATCGCAGTAGTGGGCTTGCCCTGTGCTGCTTCTCATTGTGCTCTGCACTCCGCTGCCTAATTGGAAGAATAGTCTGGATGGAAAATGACATCACCTGGATCCTGCAGGTGTGAACCATTCAGTGCACAGGCGCTGTTCCAGCTAGAGGCTACCCTCTTTCTTTCTACATTATTGATTTAATCAGGTGCTCTGACAAAATGAAAACCCGCAAAGCTGGCTGCCTTTGCAAACTGCGATTAAGATAAGATAAGATATGATAAACCTTAATGATCCACAGAGGGAAATTCTTGATAACACAATTCTTTATACCCACAAAGTTGGCTGCTTTTACAAGCTGTGATTAAAATAAGATAAAATATGAAGAGGTAAGATAAGATACTATTATTACTGGTAATTATATCTGTTAACACACCGTTAAGACTGCTGGACAGTGACAGTAATATGTCATGAATGGTAGAATGTGAAAGTGGATCACTGAAGGGAATTAGGACAGGCATGGGTGTGTGAAAGAACTGAAGAGATTTCAGGAATGGGGATGGGACATATGTACCAGTAAGGCTGAGGTGGTGGGCTAACGGAGGTGGTGTGTGGAGAAAATTCCAGAAAAAGCCTCCAGTCATTTCAAAATACATTTTGAATTTCAAATGTTGAATTAATTAATAATTTATGATGATAATCATTAACGGAAGAAATTAGAAATTATGAAGTATATGGACACGGAAATATAAAGAAAGAAAATTATAAATTGAAGTTCGGATGTCTATTAGACAAATGGTGCCACCTAGTGGGAAAAGCAATTTATTGCGAATTAGATTGACTTTGGAATTGAGTGATCAACCAACCATCCGTCCATCCGTTTAGCGCCATCAAGTGGTTAAGTTCGGATAATGCACAAATATGTATATTAATAATCTCTCTGCCTTTATATACAATTTACGTAAATTAATGTCGGTTTGGCTTATTCAAGTAATTTCTTGAATGCAATGCATAATATTTATAATAATTCTTATTTATAATATGAAATACATGTTATACTGTAATTACCCAATTTATTCCATATTCAGTGAAGAGTAGGAATATACTAGCTATTTTGATTAATCGCAACCATATAGCATTCTCCGTAATGACAATTATACTGTATATTACAAACGAGGCAATATCTCGTCAAGTTGCATCATTATTTTAAGAATTCAGCTCTTATTGCGCATGCTCTGAAAAGCACAATATATTGACATCTTGCTAGTAGAGGTGCACGTTGCGCCCCACAATACAGGACCGTTAGGTGCCCATTTTCGCGTGCTGAACCATTAACTGCTCGTTTAGTCATCAGCTTTGCAAATCGGATTGAATTTAACAAAATAGCGTCAACCTAGTTTAATATAGGTCTATTTACATAAATTTAGCGAAAATGGGTACGGAAAATGAAGCCAACGGATATGTAAAATCAAAATCGCCTGTTTTAACTAACGAAGTGGCAGCCAGGGGTCCAAAAATATTCAAAGATACTCTAGTGGAGTTTTTTAAGAGAAATCTTTTGGTAATACTCACGGTATCGGGAGTTCTGGTGGGCGCTGGTCTCGGTATGATGGTCAGGAATATGAACCTGACGCGGGCGCAGGTGACTTATTTCGCCTTCCCCGGCGAGATGCTGCTTAGGATGCTGAAGATGGTCATCCTTCCCCTGGTGGTGTGCAGCCTGATTTCGGGTGCGGCCTCTCTGGACACCCGCTCCCTGGGCAAACTGGGTGGCATCGCCGTGTCATACTTCTTGGTGACCACGCTGATCGCTTCGGGCATCGGCGTGGTGCTGGCATTCATTATAAAACCGGGAGTGGGTGCAGGGGCACTAAACACTAATAGTTTGGGGCTGGAAACAGTCACAACAAGCAAGGAGACCACGGATTCCTTCTTAGACCTTGCCAGGTATGGTATTTTATTTAATTCCGACGTCTAGATAAAAATCTTTTCATAGTTCATGTGGGAGAGGCATGATGATGAACGTTTTAAGGAGCAGTGAAATCACAGCGAGTGATTATTCCGTCTACAGTGATGAGAGTCGCCAGTCCATAGTAACGAGGTAGAGATAATAATTGTCAAGAAATATATCGAAATTACTAGCAAAATACAAAGATAGCCAGAATTAAAACTGTATATTGTGTATTTTCAGCGATAAAATAGTCCCAGCCCGCATGCTTTTTACTACGTAGTCTATGTGTGTGCCTGGGATTTTAAATGACTGTTATTTGTTATTTTGTGTTCGTTCAATAGCCTGTGTTATTTTCTATCTCTTATATCACATGTACACGCGGCGTCCAGCAAAGGGGGTTCAATCCCTGTTGTTTGATTCCTTTTGTTCTGACTCATCTTAGTTTCGCGCAACCGCGTGTTCATTCCAAGGGAGCGTAATAGTATTTCTGTTATCAAATACTCTTGCTCATGTATCAGAACTGAAACCACACTTAGTGATACATATCAAATGATGGCCGGTATTATCCTGACTTTCTAAACAATCATCCTGCAGATTTTACCCATCTTAAACTTTTTTTCTTTAATCTCTTAGTAATAACCGTGATCACATAAGTAAAGTGCACTTTAAACTTCACTTTAACTTAAGATGGCTTATAAAAAATAGCGTGACATATTTTTAAAGAAGTTAAACATAAGGTAAAAGATTTCTGCACCATATCTGTACATAAATTAAATTTTCATAATTCAAAAATTTATTGGCTACTTTGGCAAATCTATGAAATTTAACAACTCAGATATGAATAAGAACTCATACAAAATTAAATTGCATGTATATGTATATATGTCCTGATGTTTTGCCCTACTTTAGTTAACAAATAACTTACTGGTATGTGGAAATTAAAAAAAAAAAAAATGGCTTTCAAGGTTTGCTTGCAGTTTCAGGGTGAGAGGTCACTGAGTCTCCAGCTGCACATGCAGTGACCCTGGCTTCGTCTGGCTAAGGGGCAGACCACCGAATTTAAACTTATCTTTCAGTGACTGAAAAGAATATGGTCATGATCACGGCACTCACCGTCTGCGAGTGGAAGCCTTTGTGCGAGAAGCTTTCTACTCGCCAGTTATTTTACGAGATTCTCTTGCGAGATTTGTTTTGGTCAGAATGTCCACGTTGCCTTAGTTCATTTGTGTCATTATTCGCTCTCTATTTATTTCTGTTTCTTTGCACTGTGACCAACAAGACTGCGATTTCATCTCAGCGTATGACCTATGCATCACATACTGTAGCTGAAGGGAAGAGTAGACATCCTTCGACATTGACTCTATTTTTTGTTATTCTCTCTAGGAATTTGTTCCCAGCCAATCTCGTGGCGGCCGCCTTCCGCACAGTAAGTGGGATGCTAGATTTTTGCCCCCCTTCCTTGCCGTAGAGTCGTCTCCTAGACAAAACAGCCCTACGTGTCCCAGTCTAAACCTCTGTGGCGGCCGTTTACAGCTGTCTTTACAATCCATGTTTCCATGACGTTGGGGGGATCCATCTTCTCATCATGGAAGTCCTGGTGTGTTTGGTTAAACACTAAGTGAGACTTTCACTTCACCCTTAATACTGGGTAATATGGCCCCCGGGTTGTTGTGTGCAGCTGTCAGCTTTGCCCCCCACCCACCAGAGCAGGATGGAGGGGGCCGCCAGTTAACAGAAGGGTAACAGAGCGCCTCTAAAGATGTCCGAACACTAATATGCGTGTGGGTCTTATTATATTAAAGCAGATACTTTTCCTGTTATGTGAGACTTCAGGCTCCAGGGTAAGATGAGCCTTGCGGATGGACCCCCAGGTAGTGCCATGTAGCCCAGCAGGGTTGGGGGTCTATAACCATGTCTGGAAGGTTGTGGGTTCAAATCCCATGGCTAGCAGAGTAATCATACCACAGCGGGGCCCTTCGGCAAGGCCCCTAACCTTAATTTACCCTGCGCTCACATTCTCACTTTGGACAAAAATATTTCATAGATAAATAAATGTACTGCAAACCTCTCAATATGTTTAAAATGTTCACAGACCCATCCCGGGTTTCCCTCCTCTGGCAGGTCCAGGGTTCAGGTCTTACCTCATCAGGACTTTGTCCCCCCCCCCCCCCAGTATAAACATGTCAACTGTAGGATAGACTGTTTTCCCACAGTTCCTGTAATCAGCTACTGTACCAGCAAATGTCTTCGCGGCTTTTGGGTCAGTTAGCAGCCCTTCATGCTCAGCCTGACTCTGCCCCTCGTCTTAAGTCTAGTGGACGATCATGAACCTCGAGCCTCATTAAGTGTGGGGGAATGCAGGGAAAGCGTAAACCCCTGCTTATTGCAGTGCTAGGTCATGAAAAGCAGGAGATCCTTGACAGCCCTCACTGGCTGATCACTGAGATGTCCAGCAGACTTGCATGGATCCACTGCAGCCACATCCCTAACCAGGTCCCCGTTCTTTCCTTACATTTGTAGTACGCCACCGATTACAAGTTTGTCGCCGTTGGGAACATCTCAAATGGGAGCCTCATCTACCAGAAGGTATGTGGACATCTGCAGTAAAAAGGGTTGCAGTGTAACTGCGCTGAAATGCCACAGACCGGGTGAGGATCAGTCAAAGAAGCAAGACGTGTTTTCAGCTTCTGCACAGAAGCTGCTCTAAAGGTAACATTTGCAGTGTCAGGTAAGAGGGTACAGCCAGGGCTGCCCTTAGGCCTAATTCAGACAGAGGCGGGCATTTCAGGTCCAGAAAGTAAAAATCCAAACCAGGATTTTGTTTGAAGCAACCAGTTGAGTATAAAGAGTCACAGTCACAGAGTACTCAGAGTACTCAACTGGTTGGTTAGGTCAGTAATTGTACCCTCAAAGGTACAAACTGGTACTTTTGTCCTCACTTTTCTACATTCGGGAGAAGGTTGAGGGCCAGATACCTGCATGCAGGAAAATGGAGCCTGACTGTATTATTTGAGTGTATTTACATATCGGCGCTTAATGGAACGGCAGTAAAGAGTCAGCATTTCAGCATGGGGGCAATAACTGTACATCACCCCTGAAGGGCAAAGAACAAGGGCAGCCGAGCGGAGCCCCGGCGGTGAGCATGTAGGGGAAAGACAAAGAGGTGGGAAAAAATATTCACAGCAATGGAGGCCTGGCAGAAAGGATACTGTGCACGAGAATCTAAAAGCACATGCAGATTACTGTTTCAAGTGACACGTCTGAGTTCTCTTGAGAGGTTTTGATATAACAGGAGTGAACCAACCACAACAGAAGAAGCAATACGAATTTCCCTCTGTGGGGGGCAAGCGGGGTATTTTCCCTAGTTAGTTTTTAGTCTGTATTGGTCTAAGTTAGTGATGTTGAAAGAAACACAAAATGGTTGTAGTTCAGGTAGGTTCAGGGTGAATGTTGTGTACAGCGTTAGGGTTAGTTACTCACAATTGTAATCCATTACAGACAGAAGTGGAAAGCTGAGGTCCAGAAAGTACAAATCCAGATGAAGGTTTTGTTTTAACCAAACAGTTGAGCATAAAGAGTCATAGTGACTGAACACTCAACTGAGCAGGCATGGTAAAAATTGGGTTACAGTACAAAAAAGGTTGAGAACCACTGGTCTAGGAAGTAGAGCTGTATACTTAAGGTACAAAAATAGGATCATTCAGTGACTTTCAGGTTGATTTTATCTATCCAGCACCTTGACTGAGTTTAGCTGTGAACCCTTCAGTGCTCACGCAGGGACCTTCAACCTGTAATAACAAATTTCACGGAGCAAGTTTTGTCTTGCAGTATATGCAGTTTCAGAAGCATAAACGATGACCTCGGGAGTTAAGCGGAGGTTAACAAACCAGGTTGTGTACGCTATTCAGGCTGCTCTGATATGAAAGCATTGTTTACTTAAACTCGGCTTACCTGTCTTGACCTAATTTCAGCAGTATGTCCAGTGGGTCACTGTCGTGAAACTGTACCTGTGCAGTATGGAAAGCTAAATGGGGGTTAGTGTGGACTCTGGGAGCTGCATTTTGGCCACTTGTGCTGCATCACTATGGGAGGTATTTTCTGCAAAAAATAAAATTAAAATGAAAATGATAAAAAGAAAATGCAATCTCCACTTTGCCATTTAGCTTCCAAAGTCTGTGCACAAAAATCCTGCAAAAATTAAAATTAAAATGAAATAGCACCATTTGCATTTTAATTTTCCACTCATGTATGAGTCCGATGTGAAAAATTAAAAAATAAAATTAAGAACCCTTTTTGTCTTTTCATTTTCCAATTTGACGTTTCATTTCCTACTTTGCCTTTTCATTTTCAAGTCAACTACATGCAAACATTCTCTTCTAGTGGTTCTGTGAATAGGAAGCTAAACGGATCGGAAGCTGCAGATAAGTAGGTAGCGTAAGCTGCGTGTGACTTTGGGCGACACGATGGCCAAGAAACACGAAGACACCGGAATCGGCAAACGCAGTGAGAAGCGCAGCACTGATCCGCAGCTCCGCCCGCTCCGATTAACATATATTTGCATGTAGTGAACTTGAAAATTAAAAGGCAAATTTTTTTTTCTTCTTCACATCTGACTCATACATGAGTGGAAAATTAAAATGCAAATGGTGCTATTTCATTTAGATTTTCATTTTTGCTCACAGACTTTGGAAGCTAAAAGACAATATGGAGATGGTATTTTCTTTTTATAATTTTAATTTTCATTTTATTTTTTGCAGAAAATACCTCCCGTACATCACCAGCCCACTTGTGAAATATTGCTTCTCCACTAGCATCAATCTTCAGCCGAGATCATCCATCTGAATGTATCTGGTTAGCTTTGCTTTAGTACTTCAGTAAATGCTTGCTCTGATAGACCTCCCCCCCCCCTCATGCTAATGGCTTGCCTTGCTCGACACCCTGTTTCCTAATGTTTCCGGTAATGTTTTGGGCTTTCAGTCCAAACACACGCCTTGGTCCTTAGCTGGAGGGGTGCCTGGAACATAATCGGATTGGTCTGGGTTGGGGGCCCAATATGATACGCTTTCGTGGGGCCCAGAATATCTAACCGTGCCCCCAATTGGCTCTCGAAGCCTTCGAGGGTCATTTTTAAACCAACCTCTATGTGTAAAAACGTGGCACATCAATCACAATTTACAACACTTGGGCAATGGGAACTACTACAACTGACAGAAGTGTCCTAATATTATTATTGGTTAATGAAATTTATTGGTTAATGAAATGACACATTGCAACCTATTGATCATTAGCTAAATTAGTAACAACTTCAGTAACACTTCCTGTCCACTCTGAGAGTGATTCTTCTTAATATCCAAATTCTGAAAGTAATATTAAAGCAGTTATTGGTGTTTTAACCCAAGGAGGTGTCTGTTAACGCCCTTCCCTTTACAGAGAGCTCTGCCCCCTACTGCTGTTTTATTACTGGACCTTAATGTAAAACGGAGACTGTACTGACTGGATGATGTTGGCTGTACTGGGCTGCAGGTACCCATTGGCACAGAAATGGAGGGAATGAACATCCTGGGGCTGGTCCTGTTCGCCATGGTGTTCGGCGTGGCGCTGAGGAAGCTGGGGCCTGAGGGGGAGGAGCTTATTCGCTTCTTCAATGCCTTCAATGACGCCACAATGGTGCTTGTTTCCTGGATAATGTGGTGGGTGCCGTACATTAGTATATCAGCCTCCAGTCATTATTTTAAGCTAGCTAGGTAAGCTAACTGCTAAACTGAAACAAGGACTATTTCCATATATTTTAGCTAGCTAACAGGTAAAATATTCCGTAGAGCATGTATTTTGCCATTGATTTTGCACAAACGCATCAAGGAAAGCAGCTGTGTCGTGGTTAGTTTATTACTACTTATATTTGAACCGATCAGGTTGCCGTTGCGTAGCCCTTGTAGGGGTTCAGTGAGGGAGGTGTCGCTCCTCCTGACCCAGGTACGTACCATTCGGCATCATGTTCCTGGTCGGGAGCAAGATCGTGGAGATGGAGGACGTGGTGCTGCTCGTCAGCAGTCTGGGAAAGTACATCTTCGCCTCCATCCTGGGCCACATCATCCACGGGGGCATCGTGCTGCCCCTCATCTACTTCGGATTCACCCGCAAGAACCCGTTCACCTTCCTGTCCGGCCTAATCACCCCCTTCACCACCGCCTTCGCCACCTGCTCCAGGTACCGTCCTCGCTAACAGACGTCACCTGACAGCTCCTCTGAGCCAATTACACAGCCCGCTGCGCACCCTGGCTTCTACCCCGTCCCTGATTGGTCGTGCCCGATTACATGCATCACATTGTTCCAGTCGTTTCTGAGCCTGCAGCCCAAGTTTATGTTAGCCAAGAAACTGCAATTTCTTGCCTTTTAAAATTATTGCTAATTTTCAAGATTTCCTTACAATCATTTCAAATTTTTAAATTGTAAATTTACCTCAGTGGTGCAAAGTTTTTCTTACATTTCACAATGGACCGGGTATATTCAGTTATCCTCAGTGGTCTCAACTACCATGTTGGATTTAAATCTGTCTTGTTATTAAAATACTAATTTCCAGTTAAATCATTATACAATTAAATGGAGGAGCATCACAGGTGAGCCACCAGGGCGGCGGTAGAGAAGCCCAGCTCTGCTGTTAGCAGTGGCCTTAACTCTCCTTGAGGCAGAATCCTCGTATTTTCATGTCTGTCTGCAAAGTCAGATTAAGAACCTACTCATTAAAATGTGCACAAGTTACCTGACTAAGGGTTTTGACAGGATTTGAAACAGAAACATCTTTGACACTCAATATAGACTTATAAATGAATCTGTTTCAAGGCAGGTGAAGGACTATTTTTTTTTAAGCAGAAGCCCAGTAAAGCTCATATTTAAACTCACACACAGAGTGGGCTTCACATTTAGTTTGTCTGAAGTGTAGTGAAGTTTGGATTATGGCTACAGTTTGCTAACGCGGATTACAAATCCAGCGACATGAATTAATGTAATCCAGTGGCACAGAATGAAAGATCGCACCCAAGAATCCCGGGTCCGTTTTGCACATGGCCGACTGTCAGTCTTGAGTCTCGCTGTGGCCGCCCACACGTGTGCCATGCCTGTTCCCCCAGCTCCGCGACCCTGCCCTCCATGATGAGGTGCGTGGAGGAGAACAACGGTGTGGACAAGAGGATCAGCCGCTTCATCCTCCCCATCGGCGCCACGGTCAACATGGACGGGGCGGCCATCTTCCAGTGTATCGCTGCCGTCTTCATCGCGCAGCTGAATAACGCCGAGCTCAACGCCGGGCAGATCTTTACCATCCTGTACGTAGACCTTCTCAAAACAAAGCTTGACTCAAAGTCACCTCAGATACCATTACAGCAATGGAAGCTGTGTCACTTGTAGGTGCTGGAATCGGCTCCTGAACCTGTAGCTAAAGGCGCTATACTGATATCCGTGAAGTTGGCAGTCTTCCTAGATCAGGCAGACCTGAGGATGTCTTGCACAGAGATCGCCCAGGTGTCTCGCTCTGTACTGAAGCCACCGCTTTGCTTCCTCTGCAGGGTGACGGCCACCGCATCCAGCGTAGGAGCAGCGGGGATCCCGGCTGGAGGGATCATCACCATCGCCATCATTCTGGAGGCCATCGGGCTGCCCACCAATGACCTCTCTCTCATGCTGGCCGTCGACTGGATTGTGTGAGACTCCCTCCTCCATGCAGTTTTTCCACACGCCCTTAAGTTCCTTAAAATCAGTCTGAATCAGGACTGAACATCTGAACTATTGAAAGTTCTTGGAACGTCGAGTAAGATTTTCCCAGTTACAGGAGACACAAGCTCACACTATGCGGTACTGTGATTGTACCTATCTCTGCGTGTTCCATAAAAGATTGATTGAACATACTTCAAAAGCGAAATACAAGTGAGACAAAAAGCATATTACAAACATAGGTGCTGTCAAGGAGTCGACTAGGCTCAACTTACAATGAATGGCCAGCTATGAGTGTAAGCAGTATGGGAGCAGGAGTTAGCTAACATTACATGGATAACCTTTAAAATGCTTATGTCCCGTGATAGGCATAGTGATGTCACCACCGGGCCCCTGAGCGAGGCCCTTAATCCCAAATTACCCCGGGGACTGGCTGCTGTTGCTTTCCCAATTGTGTGTCGCTTTGGATAAAAGCGTCCGCTAAAGAAATAAATGTAAACATGAATGTGATTTAGAAAGCGCTAAGATGCTAAGTATGTTTGCTCATCATTACTCTGATGTGTGTGGCTATTCTCAGAGACCGGACCACGACGGTGGTGAACGTGGAGGGGGACGCCCTCGGGGCGGGAATCCTGCACCACATCAATGAGAAGGCGACGAAGAGGGCGGAGCAGCAGGCCGGGGGGCAGGAGCTGCTGGAGGTCAAGGTGGAGGTGGTGGCCAACGTGCAGGGCTTGGACGAGGCGTCCCCGCTCGTCACACAGCAGAACCCGGGCCCCAACGGCACCGTGGACTCGTCGGCGGAGAGGAGCGACGGGGAATCCGGGCTCTGAGCTCGACCACGCAGAGACGCCGTTACCCGTCACGGGGAAGAGTGTACAGCTTGTGTCTGTGACGCGCGGCTGTACATCGCCACGGGCGTATCGGCAGAGCATCGCGGCCTCAGCCCAGCCTGTGAAAAATCCCTGTTTTTACCTGTTAACCTCCCGTCCTTTGGTCAGCAAACAGGTCACTCGTCTGTCGCCGTTGGTTGTCGGGAATGTCAAAGTCAGCTGTCTAGGTGGACAGAGATTAGGAGTATTTATAAACTGATCCACGGTTGCTTTCCGATCACTATTTAAAAATACCATTATTTTACAGCAGTGTGTGTACTTAGAGAATTATTTTAGAGGCATGGCAGCGATGGATGCAGCTCTGCTCTCTGTTTGGTCATTTTTAGAGATGGATAGTTCAGGCGAAGAAAGTAAAAATCCAGACCTAGATTTTGTTTCAACTAGTTAGTTGAGTACTCTGTGACTCTTTATACTCAACTTTGTTGCTTAAAACAAAATCTTGGTCTGGATTTAAATGTTCTAGACCTGAACTATGCACCTCTGATTATTTTCTTTCTAGATGCATCTCTGTCCTGAAACAGACTGCAGCCATTTTTAAAATACAGACGCTCCTCTACTTACGAACGAGTTACGTTCCGAACGGACGTTCGTAACTTGAAATGTTCGTAAGTTGTTATTCAACATCATTTTAAGGGTATACACAAGTACAAAGAACTAGGATGCTGGGAGTCCGCACGCTACGCTGCTGCATGGCGGGAGTAGCGGCCAGAAGTCGTACTAGGTGGAACTTTGTTTGTATGTCTGAAAGTTTGTAAGTAGAGGAGCGTCTGTACAGGTTAAGGAATTTTGAGAAACCCATCGCCACCCAGAGGCCATTGAGAGTACTACATGCTGTACAATGACAATGACTCATTTTTATTTGATTGGCTGTTACTTACAAAAGATTCAAATATATTTTATACTTATGGTGAAGGGTATTTTTGGAAAGCAAGGAACATAATCACTTTTACTTTTTTAGTTGAAATTGAAACACTTTCTGTAGTTAATATTTATTGATCATAAAATTCAGTATTGTTGGAAAATTAGTTGACAGACAATTTTGTTTACAGTTTTATTTACAAAGACGTCTTTTTATAAAGGATTTTCACTGACCCTTAAAATCTTAACGGCATGCTTTGGTTTAGTGACACTCTTTTGCACGCTCTTCATATTTGACATGATTTTCCTGGGACCATGATTTTTATATGTCGTTTTAAAGGTACTGACATGTCTCTAAATAGCAGTTTCATTCGATTGTTATTTCTCTTTGCGTTCAGTTACATTTTACTGTATTTCTTTGTTTAAAAATGTGCTGTTTTGGTTTTTTGTACTTACTGTTTATAAGAACTGTAATTTGTAATTTTTCCCACTTCAGACTGAATGATATAGATATTTCCATTTGTGGTACAGGCTCTGTAACGATCTGTGAATCTAGACCACTTTGTTCATTTCTCAAGCCCGCATTCCATTCTTAAAACAAAGCCTCTGTGTTTCTGTGGTTCTCTGTAGAGCCCAGACAAGAAAATGTTTTAGAAAACCACTGCAGTCTGAGGGGAAAAAGTCGCCTCTGATCCCTGAGAGCTACACTGGCTTCACATAGCTGCTCATTAACGAGTATAAATCAGTAATTATTACGAAACCTCTTTTTTCGTGCATCATACGTACAAAGACGCTGCCTGTTAATGTCACACTGCTTTCTGCTCTGCAGCATCTCATTGGCCAAACACCGTCTGGATGATTTGAGAGGCAAAGTGACCGACCCACATGTCCACGTGTCACAGCATGCATTGAAAAAGGTCTATGCATGGACAAAAGGGACCTGACAGCAGCAGACGGCGGATGGTACCGAGGATGTAGGGAGTCCGATGTGCTAAATGTGCTTTGTGTCAAGTACAAACCGCTGGATGGCAAATAAATGGGGCCGAGTGCAAACGGCATGTCATTGATCCCATAAGCATCATACATCTGACAACCATCTCAAGCAAAATATGCAATAATGTATCATATTACTTCTGTTGCAATTTAAAAACACAACAGTCTAGGGTTGGCCTGCCCCATAGGTGACATAAGTGATCGGCTAGGGTGCCATTTGAATCCCCAAATCATGATGCAACGGAATTACGCACTGAGCCATGACATCACCTTGTTGCATGTTCTGTCAGAAAATCACCTTCACGTGATCAGATGTGACAAGGACTTTACCACACAGAATCTGCGCAGGTAATAACGGTGTAAACCAGAATATTATAATTAAGCCCTCAACACAATGTATCACGTCTTGTTTGTGCCACACCAGCTGGTACTGTGGTTCAGCACGAGGCCAGGGAAAAGGAAGCTCCCCTTAAAGGTGAAAAGCTAGCAAGCACAATGCCTGAAAGCCGACACGTCTGCATCGCTGCACTTTTTATGTGTTTCATTAATAATATAGACTTTGACACCAGAAATGGCGGCAGCCAGAAGGTGAAGCTTCCTGTAAGCAATCACACGGCCTCATGATCAGTCAAATAACCCAGAAGGACAAAACATAGGATTTTTATAGATAGTTTTAAAGCATCACAATAGTATTAATTAAAACATACACAACACTACCTTAATCTCCATGGTGCTTGAAGGCTACGCTGGACCTCAATAGGTAAGACCTACAGCAACTGGACAGTAAACCTCAAAACACAATGCCAGTCTAGATCAAACAAATACCATTTATTCAATTCAGCATAAACAATTGTGAAAGATTAAACCATTAACTCAGGTCACTCCTGTAAATCATTACATGGACACATGCATACAACTGACATTCTGAAGCGCAAAGTGTATCTCTGCCCATCTTACCACATACTTACTTGCTTGATATATTGGCCGATTTAGTAAAAGCTAATCAGAATTTCTGTAGAATGAGTTATTCAATAACCCTGATTTTTTAAGTATTAACCAAACTACATATACATACTTGGTGGCAATCCTGTTTAGGTAAACCTAGCTAATACCAGGCAGGATACATATTTGGCTCCAGAACCACTACAAAGGTAGATGAGGTGTGTGTTCAGAGAAGCCGTTCTGAACGCTAGTGTTAGTTTTAGTTATTATTGCACTTGCGGCCTTCCTGTCAAATTGGATATTCTACAGCCACAGAAATGCCACTGACTGGATGTTTTATTTGTTCATCACACCATTCGCTGCAAACTCTAGACACTGCAGCGTGTGAAAATCCGAGAAAAGTGACAATTTCTGAGATGCTAGACCCAGCATGTCTGACAGCAAGTAACACCATTTTCAAAATGACTTCGATCAGGCGTCTCAGCAGTTTTCACGCTCAGACAAACAGTAAGTGAACCTCCTGACCCTGTGTGTGCTGCATGTATTCATTTGCAGCCACGATTGACCCTTTGCATTAGTGAGCAGATGTACCTATTAAACTAACCACTGAGTGCAGCAACAGAAAGTAAGGATTCTTTGTTTAGAGAGAAAAAAAATCTACTGCTCAGTCGCTCAGTTCCCACAAGAAAAAAAGTTATGGGAACTGAGGTGTATTTGCATGCCTTTATACAAACCATTTAATCTGTGGAAAAGAAATGCTAATTCTGCAGGGTAATTTTACAAAGTAACACTTAAGAAAAAGGGCACAAAAACTAAATACGCAAACTGTGCTGAATTTGCCACATTTGCATTTAAACTAGACTAGCTAAAATTAAAAAAAACCTCGGGAGCACAGGAAGAGGTACCGAAAGCTCCTGTGCGTTATTTTCCGATTCATTCTAAAGCACTTTACAGTCAACTTCGGAATTTTGGAATCGACTGATACAAGAACGATTTAGGATTTCTTTAATGCATAAACTATGGCAAGCCCTTGCAACCACATTAAGCCATTGGGAAAGTACAATAATTCAATGACTATATTAAATATGACCTGATACATGTTGCTTAAGACGTTAAATAAGGTACAGAGTATGAAACCTTTAACAAACGCTAATATCAAATCAAACCTATATAACAACAATCATGCCATCAACCTAAGTAAATACAGCAGCAGATCTGAGGATCCCTTTTATAATAGACCAGCCCAGAAATCTAGCTAATTTAAAACTGGACTCGGTTCGCTTTATGAAAATTAACATAGCGCCTTATACGCATTTTTGACATCGTCCCCTTATGTCAGCCTGCTCGTAGGTTTCAGCCATATTGCTGACACAATCATTATTATAAAGTAAAATATTTATGAACAGAACAAAAATTGTAGGTTAAATACCAAACAAAAAAGTTTTTATACACTCAGGTAAGAATTCCAATAAGTAAAATGTTTATTAAACATTTCTTCAGGTTTTTTCAGGGGTAGGGAGCTTGCATCAATAATTACAAGTCTGCAGACACAAAGGAAATGCAGAGATAACAAAGTTACACTAGTCATCAGATAATGGAATTTATTCTGGTTCTTTCTGTACAGGGCTCAGGTCACACGCACACATGCACACTCACACCTACATACGTTACGTGAGCACGCACACACCACACAGGTTAACGCGTTCCTAGGTCTACTGGACATGGGCCGTGACTGTCCAGGCGGCTGCCGCAGACGTACGCGGATGCGTGCACGGAAACCCACGTGCACGTATTTACACAAGCGTCACGCGACATCCTCCATACAGTGGGAACACCTGCGCTATCGGTGAACAGATGTTGGCAGAAACTTCGTCATCGTCATCATGAGACAAATGCCTACAGACATGGACACAAACGCCAGGAGAAAGGAACCGGCCGCGAGGCAGACCAGCGGCGGGAATGCTGCGAGATATACACTCATTCTAATTCACATGGGTAACCCTGAACTCTGAGACTTTAAATAACTGTGAAGATGGGATCTGAAGTCTCAACGGTGGACACAGAAGCAGCCAGTCGGGGGCAGGAGTTTGGGCCAAGTTCATTGAATTGTTGACCTTTTTTTTTTTTTTTTCCTTTTTTTGTTTGAGAATTTCTGGTAGTGCGGCTACATACAGTACAATTCAGGCAACTTAACATGTTTCTCTCCATCGCCATCTTCCTCTGTCTTTCTGACTGTGGAACGAGGTGGTGTTGCACCAGAAACTGGGGCAGGGGTTTGAGGAGGGGGGGGTTGGGGAGGAGAGGCTCAGCAGCACCCCCCAGAGGCAGGCTTCACCGGAGTGCTCTGGATCTTGACGTTGGACTTCTCAGACCCGCCGGCGGCAGCTCCGGGACCCATCCTCTTCTTGATCTCAGCCGCCATAGTCATGAAAGCTTGCTCTACATTGGTGGCATTTTTCGCGCTGGTCTCCAAGAAGGGGATGCCGAGGGAGTCCGCAAATTCCTGAAAGGGAAACCAGGATTTATTGGGAACCCCGAACCAACCTACTAAACAGAAAAATCAAAGAACTGTCCACATCAAACATCAGGTAAAAGGATCCTCAAGGATCCATTCTCAGATCCTGATAAAGGTGCTGTTCCTCATGTCACCTGTTCCTCATGTCACCTGTCCCTTTTGTGTGTCGACTAAGTTAATTTTAAATAAGGAGGGGCCAAGGATTCTGCAATTCTTTCAACCAGATAAACAGAATGCAAACAAAGTCAAGGTATAAATAGGGCTAAGGATGAAAATTTGAATAAGCAAATTTAGAATTTGAGGACTGTTATAAGCAGTTAAACTGTTATAAACAGTTAAAATGTAATCAAGATCATTTTACAAGTTTATATATCGGGCCTGCATTTTCCAAAGATTTAATCTTACTATAACTATCTTTCATTATACTTTCTTCACTTTTTAAAGATTTATTCGAAATGCTAAACAGTCAGATGCAAAAAAGACTTCCGAAAAATTAAACACACAAAATTCAGTCTACGAAACAATTTCCCCTGCAAATTAGCAAACAGGAAAGGCCCTTCATTAGGAAATCAGTACCTTGGCTGTTGTGTAATCCACCACCTTCTTTGTTGTAAGGTCACACTTGTTCCCAACCAATAACTTATTAACGTTTTCACTGGCATAGCGATCAATCTCCTGTAGCCACTGTTTAACATTATTGAAAGACTCCTGGGAAGAGAAAAATAAAAGAAAGAAATATAAAAGATGTATACAGATCTCTGCATGATCTATTCCCACATAAAACAAAAACGACAACAACTAAGAAGCAGAAGGTAACCCACCTGGTCTGTGACATCGTAAACTACAATAATGCCATGCGCTCCTCTGTAGTAGCTCGATGTGATGGTGCGAAAACGCTCCTGACCTGCTGTGTCCCACTGTGAGAATAAGGAAAGCAGGCCGTCGAGTGCTACCACAAATACCTTGGCTGTAGGCCGAGCACCTGTTAGTGGATGGAGATGCGAATGATGCCACTCGAATAGCTACTTACGATCTGAAGTTTGATGGTCTTGCCGTCTAATTCTATAGTTCTGATCTTGAAGTCCACACCAATGGTGCTAATGTAGCTCTCTGTGTAAGTGTCATCCTGGAGAGGGAGAAGACACTCCGGTGAGCACAGGGCTATCCTCGCCATACAGTGCCGCTGCTCGTCATGGTGCCTCCAGTCTGCATGGTGTTTCGACAGCTTCGGTTCACATTCTAGGAATTCTCTGGCCTTCTACGTCTCTACTCAGCTTTCCCCTGGTGCCTCAGGTCAACGACAACACTGTAAGATAATCTTGGCCCTGATAATGACGACTCCATACCACATCTTAATAGCAAACTAGAAAAAATGCAGCAGATGATACTTGCCCAGAACCAAACCAGCCACTAAGCAGCTGATATCTTGACTTCCAGCTGAATTTCTATGGTTATCCAGGAGCAGTGGGTAGCCAGCTGATCTTGCACCCCTAGAACCCTTCCCCCTCTTACTATCCCAACCTAAGGGACCCTTGTTCCTCTCCACCAGTTCACAGAATGCACGGGTGGTCTGTATATGCATATTGTAAAGCACTATGGGGTAACTATGTTGGGCACTGAACTTCGCAATCACCGTTTCGACAGCTAAATGCATATGTATATAATTTATCTGAACATGAACCAATCAACCAAAACCAACACTCTACTGTGCCAGGAAAGCTGATACCAGTGCACATGACTGTGTGTGAAATGGGGCGGTGTTTGTCATCTCCAGTAGCAAAAAGAGGAAGGATGAGAGAGGAAAGGGCACTTACTGCAAACCGAAGGAGGAGGCACGACTTCCCAACGCCGGAGTCACCAATCAGGAGCAGCTTGAATAAATAATCACTGGGGAGCAGAGAAGAAAAGGAACAGGTTCAACTGACTGCAGGAACACACTGTTCTCATGACCTACCACCTTCAGCTGGTACGCGCAAACTTATGCTTTTTAATGAAACCTTTGGGACAAATTATATTTACCAGAATAAGGTTTCTAGTTGAATCACACAACTACATCTCAAATATGGTGGTTCATTGTGTTATGATCCTTCACTTGCTAGGCTGCGCCAAGATGCTCATTAGTTACATTAGAGAGAGCAAAGCAGCTGAATCACTGCACTTTAGAAGCTAAATGTCGGACACAGACCAAACGAGTCCTCCTTGCAAAGTCTGTTTGAAAACTGTTGCAACCAAAGGAAGCAGCATGACAAATTTATTCCAGCACCTAAAGCAGAGGCACGCAGCGGAGTGGGAGAAGTGCAGCTCCCAGCGAAATGAAAATAGCCTCAGCACCAGCACAACATCCAAAGTTAAGCAAGCAACCGTCCCTGACACGTTTTCGAACTGTGTGCCATATGATAAGAATGGGGCACGGTGGGAGGCGATAAACGCGGTCGCCATGTATACTGCGGAAGACATGGTGCCCATACATACTGTGGAAAAGCCGGGATTCATTAACATGCTAAAAGTTTTTACAAGTTTCTAAAAGTGTTTACAATGGCGTGGTCTGCCATCTCACTTACAAGCATCTTTTTTGGCTGGTCAGATAGCACTAAATAAATGAAAATAAATAAAGTTAAAACTTGTTTTGAACCATTTATTTGTCATCTGTAGTTTGTTTTTGAGTAGGGGAGGGGAAAATCGATTAAAATCGAAAATCAGATTTATTGTGAAAAAAATCTGAGATTTTATTTTTAGGCCATATCGCCCAGCTCTACCCACACCATGCCACCTTGGACCTAGACATTTTTTTTTTGGCCAGGAAAGATAAAATTATTCAATTCTTATGTATTAAGCCAACTCTGTGAAACAGCATTTTGTTCCAAAACACAGTGTTACAGAGATATACAGAGTTATATAATTTGGCCCATTGTTACTTGATCAACAGTACAATTTCTTTGTGTGGTTTGAATAAAAATGCTTTTGATGTGTAATAGATTGTGGTTGACATGCACGGGAGGCAACTATTCCAATCACATGATCACAGTGAGGTTATGACCCTTGCAGTACACCCCCTTTACTAATACTGTCCAATCAGTTAACATCCAATGTACTTCAACTGTTTCCACCATCCGCACACAAAGTGAGCTCCAAAATGAACTCTTAACCCATTCTTTAGATGGAATAAGGGTATCAGTTCAACATGAGCCATCATTTGCAGGACCATATGAAAATCTTTCTCCATTCAAATATATATTTTTTTGGTAAATAATTGAGATATACCCAATTAATAATTTCCTGATTTCCATTTTTGTCTTTTTTTTTCCTCCTATACATAGGAAAACTTTATCCATATGGATAAAATAACCCTAAATTTCATTCAAAATTAAGAGAACAATTTCAAAAATTGCCATTAAACTGTGTGTCTAGCAAATACTCCTAAAATTACCTTAAACAAACAATTAGCTAAAAATAAAACATGCAAATATCATTCTGATAAGTAAATGTCCTTCACTTGTCACTGGGCCTTTTAGTGTGAACCATGTGAAAAGAGAATTGTCTTGGTGCTGTGCTGCTGGGAGATAAACACCAATAAATCACAGCAAAGTGCTCAGCAGCAGCGCCGACAGACAGCGCCACAGTGTTCTGTGAGCTGTCGAGCATCGGAACCAGGCAGCCCCAACTTGGACAAGGACAATTAATAAGGATCTACACTGGCTGTATTTCTGAAACACCTCCACTCTCTCCTCAACCCCATGAAACTGCTCACACACCAATCCCCCACCCAGCACCCGCCTCAAGCAGCTGGTGCTACCCCCCCACCTCCTCTGACTCCACCCCAGCTGCACCTGCCGTTCCCATATGAAAAAGGCACAGCAGCTGGTACGCGAGGCAGGCCCTGGGGTCCCCTTCCATCACTCAATATCTAGGCATGGTTGACCTACCATTTAAATACTGACTATGATTTGACTAACAGCATTTAAGGATTCTTTTGAACAGCGTTTTTAAAAGTGGGTAGTTATGCCACAACTTTGCGAGAAGTAATGGTCTATTAATTCTAAGCTCACAGAGGACATTAAGTTGGAATAATTAGAGATCTGAAAGATTATTCCTAATTAACTTGACACAAAAACTCCTGCGTATAAATGATATTCTGCTGTCCTGAGTTGTAAATGAATCGCATTAACATTTTCCCATGTAAACCTTCATAAAGATCGACTTTCTAGCTTTTAATTAGGACAATACATAAGTCATTAGCAAAAAAAATGAAAGCTGTTTGCTAAGACGGCTCTAATAGGCGAATTAATTGCACAATGATTAAAGCAAAGCGGCACAGAACTGTGACTCAGGTGCAGAGGGCGTGGACTTGAGTCACTGGGCACAGTCTGGGTGTGGCTGGGAGGGGCTTGTATTTTGGACAGGGTGGGAGCCAAGCCCTCCAGTGAGGTGACCCGTGCCTGGGGGTGTCAGGAGACAGCCTGCACATCATGAGTATGAGCAGAAAAGGCACCGGGGGCTGCAAATCAATGGTGCGGTGGCTCGTCCTGAGACAGAGAGCCATGCCAGTGCATGTCTTCAATAGGCGCCATGGGCGCAGTGAGGTGTTTTCCTAGGGTTTAGGAAAACCAGCCACGTTGTATTCCACACCCTTTCTGTTCAGCCCTAAGGAAACATTCGTTCAGCTTGGATTTCATTCACAAAATGAAAAAACCTTCGATGAAAGCCCAGAAACAGACCATATGACGTTTGAATGCAGGCAATTATTTTTTAGAGAAAACAGCACACTGCAATTTCAGCAGAAGGAAGGTGCCTCAATATCTTTAATACAGCTGTAAGGAATCCATAAAAAGAAAAAAAAAAAGACGCCACTGGACAGGATTCAAAAAGAAATGGTCTGTCTAGAAACTTAAGCTAGCAGATATTGGGCTACTAACATCTCAGGTGACAGGAGCGTACTGTTTACAGGAGAGTTAGTAATGAATCCCCGCTGGGATAAGTTACAAGGCTGTGCAAAAGAATCAGGTCCCACTGTCACACACAGGCACTGCAGCTGGACAAGATTGTCCCAGAGCTCATATCTGCTAGCATGGATGACTATACAGTAAGGCGATAAATATTAAAATGTTATTCATCTTCAATGGCATACCACAATCTCTCATGTTGTTGATCGTTGCCTAATTCACATCTTTGCATAACGAATGTATTTTCAGGACACTAGCTAGAGCTACAAACAACGTTTAAGGGCATTATATATATTTAACCGAATAATGTTGCATGCAGCCATTAAAATGGAATAGTGTGCCAGTGACTCAACAGGCCATTATTCACCTGCTCTTGACATTTTCTTTAATGGATATATTCTGGAGCTGAATGTTTCAAACGGCCACCCATTTATAATCTAAGGAAACTATGTTTTTAAAGAGGAAATCCAAGCTGGGCCTTTATGGGGTGGTGCCTGGTGAGGTTTACAGTCAACTAAACTAACAACATATTCAGTGTTGCAAGATGAAGATCAGGTGTGGCGGAAGGATTGTCCAAACAACATTTAAAAGGTGAGGCTATACAAAACCGGTCTAAGGGGCTTTTCCCATCCTTGCTTTAAAAAGGGTGATCAAGTCTGAAAAAGGTTAACTCTGGGGGAAAGGTTTGCAGAAGATCTGATTAAGACAGTGTAACAGGCTGATTGTGTTAGAGGAACATAAATGAAGAAATAAGATGCAAACTTACAGGCAATGTTTAGTCAGCTGTATCACTGCAATAAAAAGAGTCCTAAGGCCAACATTACCTCGGCTAGCTCCCAAATACCATAACACCATGTCACAGAAGCCCTAACATGGTCCTACTAATGGCTAGAAAGACCCAAGGATGGGGAACTTCTCTGCAGTTATACCGCTCCTTCTAACCAGGTGACATTCTATTGGCATACTGTATCTTAAGTCTAATGAGACTCAGAGAGCTCTGTCGACATCCTCTGCATATTCTCCTCATGTTGTTCAGGATCCATACCTCAGTCCAAATACATGCAGCATCTGAATGTGTAACAGTGTGTGAATGTGCATGCGAGTGTGTGTGTTTCTATGTGCCCTGCCATGGATGTGCATCCCGTTCAGGAGGCATGCCACGGTTTCTGGGACAGCGTGACCAGGATAGACGGATAGAAAGATTACTACAGGTACCGTAACGGAACCTGTTAACCATTTCAACAGCGGGTTGTTTGCAAATCGAACAGACTAAGACAGGAATATAACTCTTAGTAGCGATTGCCTAATAACAGTGTTGCAAGAAAAGCATGTGAGCAGCCCATGACCGGCTGCGTCTTATTTACGAAAAGCCCCTCTGATCAGATCGCACGGGGGATTATGACCTGCGTTTTACAGGCCAATGCTGATGACAACTGACTGGGCTAAAATAAGTGTAGGTAGCTAAGCGGCTAAAAACAAAACCGAGCCAGGTCGGGTACGCGCAAGTACGCAATGACCTGACCATAGCTAGCTGCCGTGGTCCATCTCTGCCGGCTTTCTCGGTACTTGACTTTTTCAAAAGCCTAGGCAACTAAACCAAATTCTTTGAATGGTAATAAATAGTTTTGACTTGTAAAAATCCAGTTTCAGTTACATGTCTATGAGATTATGACAAGGACAATTTCCTCAGACTATTGTCATTTATCATACAGTTGTGTTTTACCCCGTAACGGCCAGATTTGCTAGCAATGTAAATAATTAAACGTTCGATTAGCAACACATTCACACACATATTTTAGGAAGTTGTCCAAACGAAATGTTTAAAATAAAAGCTACCCAGCACCAAGGCAGCTGGTTAGCTAGATAGGCCGTCGCAACAGCACGGGTACTCCTTGGAACGGTCGTGTCATAGCAAACTGGCCCTAACAGACTTACCTATTCGTCTCTTTTCACCCATAAACTGCTGTCACTTTACTAGCTATACTTTTTCACTACGGCGTTGATTAGCTACAGTTCAAACACTCTCCGACCAGCCAGTCATTATTGTGTTTCACTTACTATTCAGGGTTCATCGTTGGCAGGTGACAATAAAACGCTCTTCTTGTAAAAAGGCTTAGCTATGAATTACTGGAATTGATTCGCTAGCTTCAAGTTCTCTTTCAGATTAAAAAAGTAACTACTCCCAAAAAAACCGAGAGGTTAGTCGTGTAGAATCCAAAATGGCTGGCAATCTAACCAGGAAACAGCAAAATATCCAACCGAACTTCATACTAGTGGATGTTATTTTTCGCCCCTTGCTTCTCGGAAGTTGTAGTTTCTTACTAAAGTTGTACCCGTTGCCCGGCATGTCAGTAGTGTTGCTAATGACTACTCTACCCTTGTACCCCTGCGTCTAGAGAACATGCGCAATACGACATGTTTTCCCATATCCTCGCTAGCCGCTCCTGTTGCAAGAACAGTATTACGACATATAAAAATGATGTCATCAGTGAAACGTGGCAGAAATCTGCGGTGCAGGTGGAGCACATAGTCAATGTCAACGTAATAAATATGAATACACCGTAGTATTTTAGTGTTAAAAACACATCCCCAGTGACAATTGTCGAAATTCAGTCCTATGCAAATAAAATATACTCAATCACACAACATGTACTTGTTAAAAAAGAACAATACAGTAAATGACATTACATAACGCCAATTAAAACAAATGAGCGCACAATTAACTGAATAATTTAGAAATTCTTTATTACAGATATCTTTTTAGAGTTTAGTGACTCATATAGTAGTGAACTCAGACCAGGATAGGAGCTGTTCAGTGCTGAATCAACATATTAACTTGTGGAACAGCTATCTTCACATTCTTGAGTACCATGTGACCATATATGAAAGACAGATTTCTGCAAATGATCTCAAAATCCAAGTCATGGAACCCAGCTGGATCAGAACAGCCTGGCAATAAGATTCAGTGTAGATTATCAGTCCTTCTCATTATTTTTACATATCCTTATGAGGCTGCAGGGGACATAACTGAGTTCTACTTATGGCCTTTTATTCAACTTATATAGATCACATTAAACAACGCTAAGCTTTATTGCTATTGTTTATTCCAAACATAAGAGACCACTTACAGATATGTAGAATGCAATGTATCTGCTGTACTGCAACTCATTTCTGTGGTAACCAGTTTTTGTGTGCATCATGGTGTGCAAGGACACATTACGACACAGTGCATAAAACAACTTACAGTAAACACAGATGGCCCAGCAGACAACTGACCAATAGGTCCTTCAAATGTTGGTGATAACTTCACTGTAAGAGACAAGCAGCAAAACTCTCCTTAATTCAAGTCAAAAATCTTTTTCCTTCTGTAGCCAAGAAGCCAGGAAACACTGTGATAAAATGATGGCAAATTAAGTCAGCGAAGCCCCCCCCCCCCTTAAGAACTATTTGCCAAATAAGTAACCTTGGAGAACCAGTATGAGTCCCTGTAGCTGTATTAGAGACAGTGACTTGCCTTTTGGTGTCCCTTCTGATCCTAAAATAAGAAAACTGGTTGGGATATGCGGTGTGAAAGTCTGGTCTTAGCAGAAAGTCTTTCTTCACTTTATCTTCTAAGATGGTCTTTTCCAGCTTGGTCTTCAGGGACCCCCAGACAATCCATGTTTTTGCTCCCATCTGGAGTTTCTCTGTGGAACAGATTGAGAAACACTATTCTACATATCTATTCATCTTCTGGCCGTCCATCCTGGACAGGGTCATGGAGGTGTTGGACCCTATCCCAGCCAGCACGACGCACAAGGCTGGGGTACACCCCGAACAAGTGACATTATAACACAGATGCACCTATCTTCTAACAGCTTATCCTAGTCCGGGATCCAGGTTTGGAGCCTAATTCAGACAGCATAGGGTACAAACATGACCTCATCTCCTATGTCTCTAATAGATATGAAGGCTACCAATCAGGGTTTAAGCTGAAACCAGAACACTACAGAAAAATGACAATATTCCTAAAATGCGTATGATATTATAATCAGTGAGGTACATATCTGCTGAGGGGGGTTGAAATACAAATACATACTTGTACACATACACATGCTCATACAACATCACAGCATTAGACAAGCACACTTATACACCCACCCATGCACATGCCTGGCATCTAGCAACAGATTCAGTTGCATGTTCTCCCTGTGTAGCAATGGGCTTCCTGCCACAATGCAAAAAAACATGCAGTCAGGAATTGACTTTGAACCGGTGTCTCTGAAAAGGTGGCCGTACTTGCGTGTGCCTAGTGATGGACTGGTATCCCGTCCAGTGTGTTCCTCTGCCTTCTGCCCCCGCTTTGTGCTCAGTGCTGCTGGGGATGGGCTTCAGGCCCACAATAGCCTGGTACTGGATAACCACTTGGAAGATGGATGGGTGGATGGATGATGGATAGATGGATGGATGGATATTATCAAACATGGTTTTAAAAAGTTAATATACTATCAAACAATATTTTACCTTGTAAACTTGTATTTTTTATAACACCACTTCTCACATTAGAAATAAAGATCTTCTACAGCATGAACCTGAAATCACCTCTGATCAGTTAATGGTTTGTGTCCTTTACACCTTGATAGTTTTATTACATTTATGTTTCCACACTTATGGTGAGACAGTATTGCCATAAGCAGTATTTACATTATAAAATTCATTGACACAATCCATTGCCATTGCCACAGCACAAGAAATATAAAAAGGTCAAATCTATTTTTAGCTATGATCATAAATTTTTCATGCACATTAGACATCCGGAAACTGAAGATTGTCTTCACAGCTGATGCTGCACGTCTGAGGTACGAATCTACAAACAGGATAGTGATCTATTGTATCTCTAAGACTGACTGTGCTTCACAGTCTTCAGTGAAGGTCAAGCAGCTTACCTACAAAATTCCCATGACGGCTTGCATCAGGCACCAAGTAATGGCAGATTCCTGCAACATTTTATATAGAATTGTTATATGTTATTGGTTCTAACAATATAACCTACTATGGCACTGACCAATTCACTTAACAACAAGAACAACAAGAACAACAACAATAATAATAATAATAATAATAATAATAATAATAATAATAATAATTAGAACTGATTATTTCTGTGAATATTTTTTTGGTAGCTTTGATTTTATGTTCGAAATCTTGTTAATGATTTAGGGTCATTGGGAAGACCGAGTTTGCAGTGTTCTTTTGTATACTCCATAAAAAATTAATATATTAGACAATAATCAGACAATAAAGCAGTACAGTAATTAATTGACATTTAAAGCAGTGGAAGCTGCTATGAATTACATTGTACTTAGGTCTTAGTTGCTCATGCAAACTATCAATAATGAAGTGACTTTACCTGTTGTGCTGTCATCTGATGCCGTTACTAGTAACAGAATTACCACTGGTGTGGGGTTGGATGTGCTTTTGGTAACATTTGTCGCCATAGGAACTCTTATCAGTGTCAGGTGACGTCACTGTGAGCTGTGCAGAGTGAGATGTGGCAGAACCTCAGTGTCGGCAGGTTTCTTAAGTTAGTTTTAACAAAAGCTGATTATGAACCATACTGTCATTAGTCACATATTAGTTGGAATTGCAGTTACTGATCTTGATAGCTATGGCTTCAGCATTTGGTTCCACTGCTAGTCCAGTTTCTTGTTCTTGGTGTCCCTGATTCCTTTCTCTGCTCAGAAGGGTAGTGCGACTAAAACATTTACTGAGCATCAGAGAAAATCAAGTAAAAAGGGACAAGTGACCCATCCATCCATCCCTCCATCCATCCTATAACTGGTTATAACTGCTTTTCTTGTGAAACAGAAGAAGTGAATCAAGGCTCAGCAGAATCTTGCCTAGGGCACCAGAACGCCCAGGGCTGGCCCTGGGCAACAGTGTGTAGATACAGCAAAATCAGAAAAGTAGAATAGTACATTTACAACATGTACATTTACAGATATGTAACATTGGCAGAAGAGTAGGCACTTTAAGGGTCTCACAAAGTTCACCAAGGGGCAGCATAGTGATCTGTGCTTTGTTCAGATATTGCAAGTGTGCTGTGAACTATCATCAAACGTCGTATAAATGAGTTGACTCTTCAAAATGAAATAACCACTATGTGAATGTCAGAGGCCTCATTCTGCATAGTTTGGGCTGCCTTTCCCACTTGGCTAAAATCCCACTATAATCTATCAAGTATTTTGCAACCAGAGAGCATTTCCTGTTTCATTTGGCTATCATGACAACACACAAAACAACTAATTTTCCAGCCTTCCTTTACCTGTGCAAAGAGTGCTGCGTCTCATCGGAGCCTCCTTGGGTACCGCTGGCCTGACTTTGTGTCGAACGAGCGGTTGCTAGAGGAGTCCTGAGTGAGACACATTACCTGCATTGTGAGGGAGCGTCAGTTATGGCACTACGGCCATGTGGCGCGTTTCCCTGAGGGTGATCCGGCTCCCAGGATCCTCATTGCTGAGGACCCCAGCGGCTGGACCAGGCCAAGGGGACGCCCACGTAACTGCTGGCTGTGGCAGACACATGGCCATTTCGTCATTCCAAGGCGTTTCGTCATGTGGTGGGTGCAGCAACACGCTGCATCAGCACATGCTCCCCAACCTGACCTTCACCTGTGAACCGGGTGTGAAGCCTCTGGCCAATCAGAATCAGTAATTCCAAAACTAACTACCTGGGAGAACTGAAAACAAGGCCTGGATTTGGAATCCAAGTCCAGATTTGAAGAGCCCTGCTCATTTCTTAGTTTCTGGTTGAAACAGCGCCCTCTAGGGAACAAAGGTATGGTTTACTCCCGAGGATAACACAAGAGTGGCTGATTTCTCAGCACAGGAAACATTTTAATGGAGTAAATGGGGAAGATGCACTGTTGGAAGGGAGCCAATGTGGTGACGTACTGTGCGTTTGCACACCTTCTCTTCCCCTTCCAGGAAGTAATGCAAGACTTCCTTTCTCTTTGGACTTTAGTGAAAGGTTTTGAAAGCTGGCACCGGAGCTCCAAGCATAGACTGTAAGATGATAGTACTCTGCTATGCATTTACTACAGTTCTGCTAGCATGCTGGATGTGAAATTCTATACATATCTATATGTTTTGGCCAATGTCAATGGCACCTTGAAACTTCTGAAGCTGTATAACAGTAAGGGGTCACAGATAGGCAGTCCTATCTTTTTCTCTGGTGGTTTAAAGATTAAAAATCTCTTCCCAAACCACAAACAGTCATCCATTTTTTTCTAATTTAATATTAAAACCCATTTTTTAATCTAATACGTGATTCTGAAAAATGGTTTCTTCTGGCTCACTGGTACTTCCTTCTTTTGAATTTGAGGAACTGGAACTAGATAAAATTGGAGAATTTAAACATCTGAAGAGGAACTACACTGTTGTACACTTTAGAAAGCATATGTCTGAATGATTATTTAAAAATCCAGCTTTCCAAATAGATTACATTTTACTTCTGTGAATGGGTAAACTGTTTTAAAAAAAATATCAGTGTTAATTAGGGTTAAGCATAATTCTTTACAGAATTGAGAATTGCTGACAGATAATACATTGGGTCCGTTTTATTTTGAAATTAAATATGCACCAGTTTGCAATATTTGATGTCATATTAGAATGAAAATGAAATATGTAATTTCTATCAATATTAAAGGTTTATTGCTGATTTCACAGTCAGATTCGTCATCACCCAATTTTTGCGTCCACTTTGAAATAAAAATAGAAGAAAAATAAGGAAAAAACGATACTAGACTTTATTTCGAATGTATTTTTAAAAATCTGATTTCTACATATTCGTGTATAGGTAACATAATTAGGCTGCAATAATCATCGACCAACTGAAGAGGGCGCTATAGTGCTTTCAGAAATGATTTTTGATGCGCAATAAATGGGTAATTTTGTCAGACTTGTACAAAACTGAAACTAATTATAGAGCACAGAAGAGAAAAACGTATGTATTGTGAGGAAGCAACAAGTCAGATGACAGTTAATAATGGATTGCTGGGCCTTATACTATTTTTAAATAATTTAAAGTATTTTTTGTCCTTTCCCATCCTTTAAACATTAGTATCTCATTTAATTTTTATCTCGCCTTATATTCGAGATGCTAATGGTGTGTTGGTGGCATTGATTGTAATTTATGGGGGGGTTAACCCCCCATTATTAAAACGAGTCTGAACCCAAACGAGTCTGGAGACCCAATGCTCAACCCAAAGTTATGCCATTGGTTGGTGGTGTTGCTAAATGGTTTTGGGGTGACATTTTGAATTGGAATTAAAGCCCAAAGACAAACTTTCATAAAATAAATGATGCTTGTTTCATAAACTCTCATGAATTGAAGTACTGCATCTGATAATTTTATCGCTGCTGTCATTCAAAGGGTTTGGCCAAAAATGCACCTGTTTCACCAGTTCACCTACAACTTATACGCATATGAAATTTCTTATTACTTTGGTCAAAATGTAATGAACGGTAAACACTAAAACAAAAAAAGGGTTATCGGTAATAATCAATATGTTGCGTCTAAACCAAACAGTTTCCGGTGCATGAGCAGACTGTCTCGATCAAGCATTTGTCCATATACAGTAGTGTTTTTCTGTCACTCGGGTAAAATTGCACACGCCCTTTCTCGGCCTGCACCCAGGGTCTCTCTTGTTCATTGAAAGAAAAACACCGCCTCCTCTCGGCTTTCTTTGGCGTCTCTAATTGGCTGGGATGTGCGTGCCATTTATTGTCATTCTCAAATAGGAACAAGGGTCAAACCCATCAGCCACATGTAATTGGCTATTAGTGCTGTTAATCTCATAGAGGGTCGGACGGAGTGCGTCACGTGTCAATTGTACCGGAAGAAGCCCTTTCCGCGAGCCGGGGCGGCGATTTCCGGCTTGTTGAAGAAAGTTCATCAGGAACGGTCTGTGGGTTCCTGGATTTTGAAAATGGACGGACAAGGAAGGAAAGTGGTGGTTTGTGACAATGGAACTGGGGTAAGTCTGGGAGCTTATTGTCTCCCCTCTTTCAATCTCCGTAGTCCCGTGTTTTCTCGTGATGCATTTTCATGCCTTAACATTGATTTTCTGAAACAGGAAGTAGCCAACCAGTCGGAATGTTAGCTAGGTGGCTAACTGGGTGGACTGGTAAAGCAATCTGTCTGTCAGCTTGTCTGGGATGAATTCGTCATTTAAACTGGTGCAGTCTGTATAGAGAGGATTTTTCGGTCAGACACACAGTTCCATCTTGCTTTTCTCTCAGCAAAGCCGTGCCGTTAATGTGCTGGCTCTTCCTGCTGCCATTGTGACTGAGGTCTGCAGCGTTAGCTGCTCATCCTTCCCCAGTTAAAAAGGCACCACAGCGACCAACTGAATCATGCAACTAGTAGTAGGTAATGCAGCCGCTATGGGACAGATTCCGGTCTCCTTAGCAGTTTTTTGATTTACATGGAAGGATATTTATACGGAAAGATGTCAAGGCTTCCGTTCGGTAAAAGTGGCATCTGTCCAGCCTTGTAACCCCAGCGGGCGGCTTATAGGATGACAGCCGATGGACGTGCCCCCATGCGGGATGCTTTCAGCTCCTCCTTTATAACTGAATTAATATCAGATCCAGCAGGGCGAAGCTTTCGTAGTCACATTAACCACCTGGTCCGGGGCTTGCTTTAAACTGAGATTACGGTTGGACTCCGCTATCAAGGAAAGGGGGGAGTTTGACGACGCCACGTCTTTAAAGATGGCACCGGTCTACGCTGGTTCTTCTTTTATTTTAAATGAAATGTAATACTTTCCCATCATATGTTCTAATACCTGCGAGGTGTCCACTTCTCTCCGCTTCCCCGGGCTCCGTGTCCCTTTTGCAAACGGAGAGTGAAACACCAGCTGTCTGTTAAATAAATAAATAGCGTGATACGGTTTGCTTGTTCTGCATCATGCATTTACCAAAATATCTTCATCCCGCCTAATTTATAATAGTCTGCAATCTGCAGGCGTTCTATCCTTTCTATAGTGCCATTGTCTCCTGCTTGGGATAGGATCCAGGTGGATGGATAAATAAATAAATAAAATAAATGACTAAAACATTACGTGCTCGGATTCCTCTGGTGGCCGAAGTGGTTTACTGGGAGCCGGCGGTAATGAGGCTACTTGGAAAATTTACACTGTAAAATAATAAATGCATACAATGGAAAAATTATTAAATTGGGTATGTACAAGGGGCCCTACTAAAGCATAATAAAATGTTTCCAATGCCGTTTTATCCAGATTCCAGTACGAGTTTTGTAAATGTAAAAAAACTATGTCACTATGAAATATTTATTTTTAACTATGCGGGTCAGACTAATGTAGAGCACTACATTATACTGGAACCCTTGGAACGTAGGAACGTTTTTTTTTTTTTTTAATTAAAAAAACTACTTCTCTGTGCAGTAAATTTGCAAAAAATTGCTAATGTAAGCAGCGTTGTTTCATTCCAAAACCTAAAGCTGCACCAGCTGTTAAAAACTCACAAAGTATGCCTGCAGTTGGAGTTTAAAATCAAGGTTTTAGCAAAACACTGAAGCAAAATTTGTGCCCTGTACATACCTGAAATTTTAGCATCATGTATATCACCTGAAATGCAGAACAGCTTTATATCTGACAATATTTTTTATAGAAGGATATATGCAGGAGTAATTATGTCAGAATAATTTTGGGTTCTTTTAAAATGCATTTTTATGCTATTCTGTCTGTACTTCAATTTTTTGAAGCATTAAAATGTAAGTTTTACAGACACTTTGAGTGCCCTGCAATGTGCTGGCTCCCTAGTTCCTGACTGGGTGTTCAGACCTTCTAGGACCCTCATGGATGGATGGATATGCATTTTGAACTGGCTTACTGCATATTTTTGACAAATGTAATAGTATTAAAAAAAACAACTACAGACTTGTATGAAAAGAGTCATATGATAAGCCTTTGGGGAAGGGTATGGTCATTTTTTTAAAATGCATGAATGAATGTGGTCATCTTGAGTAGATCCCTGCGAGGTTGTGGGGTCCGGGTGCTCTCTCTGAACAGGACTGAATGGCGCTGCGTTGAGTGCCTCGTGTATCAGGAAGGCAATCTCGTAAAGGACATTCTGGACAGTGTCCGCTCCCTCACGTTCTGTGTCCCTGCTCCCTGGTCTTCTGGAGCAAACTCTTGCTTGTGTTGGACAAGTCAGCATGGCCGGGTGACCCCGAGAAATATTCTGTTTGATATAAGATCTCGCCAGCCCAAGTGGATTGGCATACACATGATTGCCTGTAGACTTCTGGAGAATCATACTTGTAACAGTTTTGTTTATGAAACAGCTGAAATGGTTATAAAACCATAAAATGTGTAACACAGCTAACGAATGGCCCAAGTGATTGTTGTAGGAAATGTACGTTTTCCCTTAAACCTCATTTGATTGTTTTGGTCTTTATTTTGAATGAAGATCTTTATTCTTTTATAAACCTCTTTATGCAACATACATTTTACAATTGAAACGGAACAAGACAGAGAGAAAAAAACAGAAGTTTCTACATGATTAAATGTAACTCTTTTCCATTCTGTATTGCTTTCAATATTCACTTTCAATTGTTTAGCAAATATTATGAATGATCCCCAAATTCTTTCTAAAAGGTCTCGTTTGCCTGTAAGGTGATATATGCGATTCTCTCTCTTGGAAATTTTTTTTAGCATTTCCCGAAACCGATGTTTAATAGTTGGCCTGTTAGGACTTTTCCACAACAAAGTAATCGATCTCTTGGCCAGGGGCAAGCAAAGGTCCGGAGAAATGAGTTTTTTGTATTCTAATTTTGATCTTTATGAATCTAAACCCAATAGAAAGAGTCTGGGACCAAGTGGATTTTTTTTTTGTCTTTGTTGTTGCATCTTTAATTTTTCTGTTGTAATGTATAATCTCATTAGCCAATTATATTGTAGTATTGATGTGTGCTAGATGATATTTTCTCTGTGTTGGAGCAAACTATAGCCCAGTTTTTTCAGGGATTTCATCTCAAATCTAGTTCCCTGCTTTCAGTTTATAGATGGAGCTCTTCATGGGCCAGTTTATAAGTTTGTAAACATTTGAGATGCCTAAACAGTTTTTGTCACCTTTTGTTCTAAAGAAGCCTGCACTGGTTTAGTAAGTGTGTTATTTTAATTTTAACATATAACGTTTCTAGGTTGTAAATACTTTTAAAAAATGCTGCTATTGGATATTAAATTTGTCTTTTAGTTTTTATTTTGATCACTTTTTTAAATCCGTAAACATGTTTTTAAAACTGAATTGTGCACTTCTGTACACTGTGTTCTACCTTCACACAGTTTATACAGCATGCTGCTGTGCCTCTGGTGCTGTGCCTCTGGTGCTGTGCCTCTGGTGCTGTGCCTCTGGTGCTGTGCCTCTGGTGCTGTGCCTCTGGTGCTGTGCCTCTGGTGCTGTGCCTGGATCAGAAGGATGCTCCGCTTTTTTTCTGTTGGCCTGTAACCTGAAGATCAGACTCACTTAAACCCTCAGATAACGTCTGTTGTTTTTTGTTGTTCAACCTTAGCCTGGACTCAGTCTGTGCCCTTTACTGCAGAACTAAACTTGCCATCGGGATGAGTACCTGTGCTGGTTGATCCTGGTTCGGAGGCAGCTGGTCAGTGATGTGGAAGTAATTAGATGGATTTGATGGTTATATTAAATATCCTATAAATACAAAAGGGAGGCGATTTAAAGCTATCAAAGGTCAGCCTAGCACAGCGCCACCTACAGCCAAAGGGATATCAGAGCCTCTTTTCAGGACCTACACTCCAGTCTCCTCGGGCAGCAGCGCTGAATGTGTCAGAGAGACCTGTGGAAATGCAGAGAAGAGTTGCTCTGGGTTGAGTCTTTCTCTTCATCTGGAGCCCGAAGAAGAGTTTGCGGTAGATGAAGATACAAGCCAGCAGCCCCCGAACGAAACGGAGGGCATGGCGAAGGGCTGCTTGTTACCTGCAGGGGAGGCCAACGTGGCTCCGCCTGAAGAGCCCTACATGATGGCTGGCCGCTTGCTTCTTTGTCTCTGAAAAGCTCTCGCTGTCGCCGTGTCCGTCGGCTCGAGAGGAAGTGGGAGCCACTCGCAAACCACAGCCTCAGGCTGAGCTAATGTGGCTGTCATGCGTACAGGGGAAACGCATCACTGTGTAATGAGATGACCGGAGGCCGTCTGTGCTGCTGTTTTTACAGCCCTGCAGTGACAGGTGGCGCTGTTGTCCGGCCATCTCAGGACAGAGCCATTGGCCCAAAGGAGCCTTTTGTTTTCTGTTGTGGTTCGAGTGCCCGTCTGCAGAGAGGGACCCCTTTAAGCGGGACTGCTTTCTGCCCTGCCTTTTGGGGGCGCTCTACTACTGTGTCTGTCATGATTGGTGAAGGATATTAGCGTGTTGCTAGGTTCAGGTCTTTAGGGGGGTGTAATGAGTTTTCTGATAATTGGTTGTGAGGTCGTCATGGGCTGTGGCCTGGCCAGATTCAGAACTTGGCGAGATGGTTATTTGAAGCCCAACATGACTTAGAAATTAGTGCTGGTTGGGGGGGGGGGGAGAGTCAGACAAGGCTTTATAAAAGCAGGCCATCCACCCGTCTGTCTGTCCGTCCATCCATCCATCCATCGCTTATCCTGACCAGGGATGCAGTGTAGGGTGTACACTGGATAGGATACCAGTTTGAGGTACGGGAAAGATATAATTCCGCTTCTCACCATTTTATTGTTTTATTGCTAGATTCTGTAAGTGGTTAATTATTTACCGCCCTGAGCCAGGCTGTGTGTGATATTTCCCTCATTGCTGCCTGTTGATGGTGAGATGGTGATGGTAGGCGGAGCTGCCCCTGGATAGCACTGGTAGGTTTGTAGCCCCATATTCCCGCCCTCGCGTCATTCCCCAGCTTTCGCTGACTCCGGTAGGTTCAGAGGGCTGTATTTTCCAGGTTTGGCTGTTTATTTTTTTCCCCATAATCATCCACAGATCGTTTCCTCTACTTGAGGGAAAACTCGCTTTCTTAAAAGATGTTAATCTTGCCGTTTCCGGTAATGTCACAAAACGGACGTCTTCTCATGTAGGTCGAGGCTGGAGGTGTGACCTTGTGGGTTCTGGCTCAGTATGTAACACTGGCTTAAGAGGCTCGTCGTGTTCATAGAGGCTGCCTTGTGGTTCCATCATAAAAAATAACTTTAGCAAGGGATTCTTGTGTCACCTGGCAGGCATTCTCTGTCTGCAGGATTTTATGATTTAGTGGTTTTATTAATTTCAATTAATAAGCTGTATATTGTCCACAATATAAAATCACCCATAATGTTGACAGCTAAAAGGGTCTTTTAGATTCTTATCAAAGATTAATACTGTGGTCTGTGTTCATTTACTATATGCACATCTGATCCCTATAACCAGGTTTTTCCTTTGGATAGTTTCATGAAGTAGTTAGTTGTGTGAGTCTGGAGTTTCCTTGCTGGGGTTTGAGCTGAGATGCTTGCAGTTACCCGGCTGCTACATGGCCTGTCACTGTCAGACGGCCCGCTGGAGACTGCAGACACTCCACGCGGTCCCCCCCCCCCCCCCCCCCCCCCCCCCCCCCCCGAGAGTTTCCGGACGTGCTTCCGGGGACCACAGCCGCGCTCACTAATGTGATCCTGTCATCCATCCATCCATCCATGCATTTAATGGACAGGGTCCCTGGGGGGCCTGGAGCCGATCCCAGGCAGGACATGGTGCCAGGCGGGGGTGCACTCTGGATGGGATGCCAGCCGAACACACACACACACGCTGATCATTGTGTCGCTGAAATGCCTGTTTAATCACTTATCTATATATAGGAATAAATATGTTTGTCAGCTAATCTAGTGTTTCAGTGATGAATAAAATATGCAAAGGACTGTAAATGATCAGCAAGTACAATAATTTTCTCTCTCTCTGCCGCCCCCCCCCCCCCCCCCCCCCCCCCCCCCCCCCCCAGTTTGTGAAGTGTGGCTATGCTGGTTCCAACTTCCCCGAGCACATCTTCCCAGCCCTGGTGGGACGACCCATCATCCGTTCTACGGCCAAAGTGGGCAACATCGAGATCAAGGTAGGCCGTCTGCCTTCCCTGGGCGCCCGGGCTCCTGCTCCCCCCGAGCATCGCCTCCATCTCCGCCCCCCCCCTTGCCCAGAGCCTCTGTTCTGATACCAGCTGTTATGATGCTGACGGTCCCTCTGATGTATCCCAGTCCGAAGGCCCTTAACACTGGTTACACCACTATGTCTGTCAATAAAGATTAATGCTTCGTTATTTTCCTGAGTGTTTAACCCTTTTAAGGAGTATTTGAGGACTTCCGGTGCACATTAAGTCGTCGTGTTCAGCTTTCTGATGACTGTTAAATGATTGAGTTTTTCAGGATTTGAAGGGTTTTTTTTTTTTTTTAAATGAGCTTTTCTAGATGAGTTTACTTGGTGTTTTATCTCTGCTAGATAGGAAACGCCGTTTGCCCCCAGCCCCTGGCCAGCTGCCCCCTGCCGCTTAGTGGTGGTGATGGTTTGGCTCAGTGCCAGGACCTTTCCTCTTTAAATCACACGGAGTTGCATTTAATGCAGTGCGGTGACTCCATCGCTGGCTGAATGGGACCCCCCCCTGTCCTCTAGGCAGCTGCTGGTGCCTTAAGGACAGACACTTCTCATGTTGCTCCAAAACCAGTGTGTGGTGCACTTTCCCAGTGCACCATGGGTAATGGTGACTCCAGTGCCTCTTGTAATCACCTTGAACCAAAGCCTCCATCCTGCTGCCTCTCTGCCTCCTCTCCTCTCCTCTCTGACCTGCTTCCGCCTTCTCTCTCTCCCTCTTCTTTCACCTGTTGAAGTAGAATAACAAAAAGATGGTAAGTGTGGCTTGGCGT